CAGAGGTTAGTGAAAATTGAATATTTTTTTTGCCTTTTGTTGAGGGGAGAAGGTAATTAATTTTATTTAGTTAGTTATTTTAATGGAGGTACTAGGGATTGAACCCAAGACCTTGTGCATGCTAAGCATGTACTCTCCCCCCAGAAAATTGAATTAAATTATGATTTTATTCCCATCTAAATTCATAGACCCCTCCTGAATTCTGTGGCTCATGAACTCCAAGATAAGAATCTGTTCTTTAACTCTTTAAGTTATGAGAGGGGGCAATATTGTAAAATCATTTACCTTAGTCAGATATTCACCCCACAGTTTGTAGATTAGAATGCACCCTATTCCTAAATCCAGTGGACACTGAATGTCCATTCTCATAAGCACAGAAGCTTTTAGTGCATCTGTGCCAATTTTGAAACATGGTGTGGAAGAGGAGTCACGGCCTGTGGTAGGCAGAATAATTGCTGGTTTTCCAATGTGTCTACATCCTAATGCCAGAATGTGTGAACGTTTTAGGTTACAAAGCAAAGGGTAAGGCTGAAGATGGGATTAAGGTTACTAATTAGCTGACCTGAAGGTAGGGAAATTATCCTGGGTTATCTGAGTGGGTCCAATGTAACCACAAGGATCCTTTGAAAACAGAAGAGACAGAGAATGACTACCTTCAGAAGAAAGGCACAGACAGATATAACATTGTTATCTTTGAAGATGGAGGAAGTGGGCCACAGCCAAGGAATTTAGGCAGCTTTTTGAAGCTAAAAAGAGCAAGGAAACAGATTCTCTCCTAGAATCTCCAGAAAGGAACACAGCCCTGATAATACCTTGATTTTAGCCCAGTGAGACCTGTATTGACTTCTGCAGAACTATACGTTAATAAATTTGCATTGTTTAATCTGTTAAATTTGTGATAATTTGTTGCAGCCACGATGGAAAACTAATACACTGCCCCACTTTGCTCATTTCTCCCCAGAAGTAAAGGTGGCAAAAGGAGCAGTATTTTACACCAAGGCCTTCCAGGGTAATTTTTAAAGACTTTATCATCTAGGTATAGCTTCTGGGGTTGACTTATTCTGAATTGTCCTTTCCTTGTCACACAATTCCGTAGCTCCATTTTGCCTTACTAAATTATACTAATTTTCAGAAAATGTGTATGTATGTTAGTTCTCCAGAAGCACTGTTACCTGAGCTTTTCATTTGGAAAAGTGTGGCTCACTTTTAAAAGTACTACCCTTCTGAGGTCCCTTGAACAAAATGCAAAGGTTCTGCCTGGAGCAAAGAGCAGCTGAGCAACACGAGGAAGATTCACAACTGGTTAACCTAAGAGGAAGTTACCCAGAATCACAGCAGCACTTTTCAGTATGGAATGGCTGTGTCAGCCCTGGAGAACAGCAAGCCCACATCTGTCCTTCCCTGAGCTAAGAAAAGGCATTAGTAGCCTGAGCCTCATGGTTTGAACCTGGTAATTGGCGAGGAATACCTGTTTGCTCTTACCACAAGTGCCCTCTTGCTGGCAGATCTTTCTAGTGCCTCTCTGAGAATCAGAATTAGGCTGTCTGGTAATTATGAACAGATGCAGTTGAACTTTTAAACAGGTTTATCAGTTAAACCACCTGCTAGAATTAACAGCCAAAGGGAGTCAGCAAGCATTGGATATCCTAGCCTAGGGTTGTATCACTAAAATAAAGAATGCTTCCTTTATTAAGGAAAAGAGGGCGGCCAGCAGGGGGAAGTATACAGGGCCATTCTTTGGCTTTATTAACTCCATCACAAATGTTCTCTTTTCATCACAGAAAATAGATGTATCTGTTGCCTAGAAATTTAGCCCCCTTCAGAGTTTTGTGACTTACTGACTACTAAGAGGTTTTTAAAATACGGATTATAAAGCAAGGCTTATTTTTAGTATTGATTTTGCTACTCAGTGTAGTCAGTGTACCTCCTCTCCGCAAAGTAACTTCTTCCTAAAATTTAAATTGTTGATTCAAAAATTAGCTTTTTAATGTAAATTATTCCTTAATACTGATGAAAAATTAACCTTTTAACCTGGGGCATAGTATTTGAAATGTGTTACATTTTAATGCCAGGTGGCTCTCAAAATAAATTTCGATAACAAATAAGCTATTATTATAAACTCTAGTCTCGTGGAAGACTTGTTTTCTATTCACAGTCCTGTGTAAATGTGGAATATCACAAGTAAGGGTCCATTCTTATTCTTAAAAATAGTTCAGCTCAATTTCTTTCGAATCTGATATTAAGTAAAACCTGAGAATATTATACCTGAGAAATAAGCCAATGCCAATCCAAATCAGTCAACTGAAAATAAATTTGCTAAGGTCAAAAATAAAACAAATGTGAAAAGAGATAAAACTGGGGAGGAGGATACTGTACAATATGCCAGAGAGAGGGTTAACATACTAATGTAAGAGAAATGTACATCTAAGTAATGCTAACTTAGTTAGCATAGAAAAATGGGCAAAGAGCATCCAAACATGACACAGGGATTCACATGGCCAGTAAACATGTGGAGATAAGACAACTTTTGACCAGTTAACCGAGCAAAAATTTTTTAAAGAAGAGAGAATACTTAATCTTGCTATAGGGCTGCGGGATGGAAGGCTAGGGGTGGATGCAAATTGTGATCTTTCTGGAAGAGAGCTTAATAGAGTGTTTGAAAATTTTGTCGAATAATTCTACTTAAGAATCTATTCCAAGGGAATAATCAGATGTGGACTTATATATAAGGATATATATTAGCATATCATCTGTGATGATAAAAACCTGGAAACTGTCTAAAATGTCCATCATTAGGGAGATGACTATGTTGTAGTATATCCTATGATAATATATCCTAAAAGAAGGATTTTCGTACAACCTTAATGATGTGAGAAACTGACATGCTCAGATGATAGAAGGGGCAAAACCAGAATACAAAGTTCTGCATACATAAAAGATAAATTTTATAAAAGAACTACAGAGGAAAGATTAGTGTAAATACAGTGATCAATCTAACTATCTTGCACTTTCTTAGAACTCAGCCTTGAGTGGTTTTGGGAATGGAGTCCCAGAGTATATCTAAGGAGCAGTTTTCTATTCTTACAGGTAGTTGTTACCTAGCTTACTCAGGGAGCCCAAGTCTTTGTTTTCATCACAGTTCTAGTCAAGCAGCCTATAGTTTGGGCTTGAAGGGGGTCTGGTGGAGGAGCAAAGACAGATAGTCTGGCTTTGGTTGTCACTGCAGTATCCCATCCATCTGGGTCTGTCTCTTCTGATTTAGGGAAAGATATAATGCTATTCCAGCATCACTCCAGAAAATATTCTTAATCTTTAAACTTCCAAGTTCAGATGATAAATCACATGGAAAGCTGGCTTTATTATCTCCATATCACAAGAATGGGTTCTTCTGGTTGTTTTTTAAAATGGATAAATTCTAATCTGTGCCTTTCCTGTTGCTGTAGTCTCCCTGGTGAGCTACTGGTAAATTACATTTATATACATATATTCTTTTTTTTTTTTTAGAATAGTAAAGGAGTTAATTAGGGTTTGCTGCTATAGGCAACAGTGAGCCACACAGATGAGAGGTGCCTGTGTGAGCTACATATATTCTTAATGTATCTTGAGTTTTATTTTAATCTCTTCTAGATCTCCATCTGAAGGTGACTGGTGTCAGTGGGAACTGAGTCAGATGACTTTTACTGTACAAGAGCAGAAGAGCATGTATAGGGAGGAAGTGTATATATAGAAAGGTGATTGGCAGTGTGAGAGGCAAAAGGGAACCATGGGTTTTGGTTTTGCCGTATTATTTGTTGTCTGTGTCTCTGCAGTGATTTTGTTGTTTTTTAAGATTGTGTAAGCAGCTAGAAGGTAGGATCACTGTGTCTAACAGAATTAGTAACTTTCAAACATACACAGCTATGAGCTCATTAAATTTGATTAGCATAGAGAATTCTAGTAGAAACATTGTTTGCTACTATAAATCTACAAATTGGTAACAGTTTCGTTCCCTAAGGGTGGCACCAGTCCTGGGATGGAGCTGTTTGCGTGACAAATTCAGAGTACCCAACAGATCTGTCCTTTCACTTTGTTTGGGTCAGAAAAGGCCTGTCTCCAAGGCACATACTCCCTCAGATTTGTTAAGGAAATGGTTCATAAAAGATTCCTTAAGTCAGGTCTTTTAACTGATTTGGCCTTGGGGTCTGACTTCAAAACCTTCTAATACAACACCATGGCTTTTGAAGCCAGATTCCCAGCTTTCTGTTCATTTTCTACACAATCCGGCTTTGTTCACTCTGGTACCGGTCTGTGGCCTCACCCCACCCTTGTTTGTGGCTGATCACTGAGCTTTTGATAAAGGCCATGGACTGACTGTGTTTTCACCATGTGCCCATAGGCTAAGGATGACTGGTTTTTCTTTTGCTAGCCTGACACGGTTGTGGTTGAAAATTCTGTCTCTATAAGTTAAGGATATAAAGATAAGTTATATTTACAAACAGCATTAGATGTAAAGTGTTACAGCTTCCTTTGCCTGTCAGGAGGGTCGGTAATATCCACACACCTGGGCTTCAGGGAATGGTTTAGCCAAGACCACAGAGTAAGTCGGGAGCAGAGCTGGAATTCTGGACTCTAGTGTGGTGTCCTGGTCACTAGAATGTGCCACGTCAGCATTGAAAGAATAAAGATAATCAACTGAGGAGAAATGCGTTTGGACAGGTTCTTTTGAGAATTATCTGTGTATACACATACCCACTTTGGCATCATGTGCTTTGGGGTACGGCATTTCAGCAGGGTTATGATGTTAGAAATTAACTCTAAAATGTATGAGTTTATTTTAGCTCTGTGATCCCTTGGGCCACACCTGCATCACTAATAATGATTTATTGCTTATTGAACTGGTTGCCTAGTGATCCTGTCTTCCCCTAAACTCCCGGGGGAGCACCTGAGGGATGCCTCAAAAGTCACTTTCTAGGTTTGTTTTTAACAGTGCTGTTTTATTCAGAATATCTCTTTGTTTTCAGAGTAAGCCCCAGTCTCCAAAGAGACTTGCTTCCCTTCTTCCCATCAACAGTGGCTCCAAAGAAAATGGGATCCATGAGGAACAAGACCAGGAGCCACAGGATCTCTTTGCAGGCAAGTGTGGACTCAAAACATAAGCTAGGAATCTTCTAAGTGACTGAGTTAAAGTAAAAAGCATGCTCTCTCTCTCTCTCTATGTGTGTGTATACACACACACACATATACATACATACGTACACACACACACATATGTATATGTATATTATATATACATAGAAAAAAAAATATATATGAGAAACACGACTCCATGTAAGATGCTATTGTGGAGGATTCCAAAACATGTAAAAAGCAGTGCCTGCTATCAAGATTCTTACAGGTTTAGGGAGTAGGGCATAAATATAGTTATTTAAGGATGTGAGTTAGACACATTGTCAAACAGTAATATAAATGTGGCCAGAGGACAGATAGAAATATTAAGTCATGGGAGCTCAGAGGGTTCTGAGATGAGGCTAAAGCAGGGGCTTTAGACTTTTATGACCAAGACTCATAGTAAGAAATACAATTTGTGTCATAATCTAAAATATATATGTACTTGTATAAAACTGAAAGTTATATTAAATGATTTGCCCTTAATACTTTCATAACAATCAAATTTTGTACTGTTTCTCTCTTTTTTTAAATTGCTATTTGCAACCCATTGAATCACTGTCATAATTCCCCAATGAGTGACAACCTGCAATTTGAAAAACACTAATGTAGAACAGGGTTTCTTAATCTTGGCACTGTTAACACTTCGGGTCCAATAATTTTTTGTTGAGAGGGCCCGCCCTGTTGTCAACAGGGGTTGATTTGAACCCCACCCCCACCCCCAAAGCCTTCTGGCCGTGGTTACAGACATTGTTGGCTGTCACACCTGGGAGTGCTGCTGGTATCTACTCCGTAGAGGCCATGGGTGCGCCAAACACCCTACCGTATGCAGCACAGACCTTCACCAAAAATAATCCAGCCCAGAATGTCAGTAGTTCCCTCATTGTTAAGCTCTGGTCTACAGTGATCTTGTAAGACTTTTTGGAAGAAGCAAGATTAATGTAGGAAAAAAAGGAGAAAGGATACTAATGGTTGGGCAGGACATACATGGTGTATTTGATAGACAGTCAATAAACTTAGCGGGCTGAAGCAGGCACTTCTTAGAGATTCCAGGAAGATAAGGCTGGAAATGTTTAGGAGGATTTTAGACATCAATAATTATTAGAATTTGAATTTTCATCCTACTGCCAATTAAAAGCCATTGGCAGTTTGGAGTAAGGAAAGTGCTATGGGCAAAGTGATGAAAGACTGACCTGGTGGAATTATTATATAAAAAACGGATTACAGTGGACAAAGACTAGAGATGTTAGAATGCAGTCACAAATTAGTTCAAGAATGCAAAGACCAAAGGTGAAATAGTGGAAATAGGAAGGGAAAGGTGAAAACGTTTCAAAAGTGAAATCAACAAAATCTCGTGTTGGCAATTGGATATAATGGGTGTCCAAAAATGAGGACTGAAGACAGAGTCAATGGATTCAAGTCCAAGGATTGAGAAGAAAATGGTACCATTTTGGAAACTACATTCTACAGAAGAAACCAGCTTTGAGTTGGTGGGTAGGGGGAGTGAATTCAGGTTTTAGATATTTAAGATTTTAAATGCAAAGGGAAATGCCCGGAAAGTGATTTGAACTGTAGCACTCTGCCTGGGGAAGGGGGAAGAATTGGAGGTTGGGAATCAGCTTCCTGGGGGTGGTAACTGAAACTGCCATGTGGATGAGACCCTCAAAGTAGAGAAAGATAAGGAAGAGCAGAGACTAGAGGGTAGGCTCTTGGGAGGACTCTCACATTACACATCTGGTTGGAAAATTAAAAGACATGAAAGGGAAGAAGAGGTTAGAAGAAGAAATACTAAGATTTCACAGGTTTTCCACTTCCTTCTTCTCTGAAACTTCAGTGCCCACTGTTCATTCTGGTAATGCTTATATTCTGAATAGTTTCTGTAGGAGAAATGCAGATAATGAATTATCTGGTTATATGGCAGATTGAAAAGGAGGTTTTTCCATCTTTGGGGTGTAACATTTATATGATCTGCCCTTTAAGAAGACCTGAAATCTTTAGCATGACTGAGTTACCCCTGTGGCTGGGTTTTATGTACATGAACATATAGAAGATCTTTATTAGGGACGTATTTATTTCTAATGAAGGTTCTGATTTACTTCATTCCCTAAGTGTTTTCCTAAGCAGCATTTTTGGTTGTCATAACGTATACAAAGGAATGCCTACAATGAGTTTAGGACTCAAGTAGTTTCTCAGATGTTTTAAGATATTGACTATGGAAAAGTAGATGTTCTGCTATTTTCCACATGATTAGCGATGATCAGGATCTCTGATAGAGTCCAATGGCTTTTCCATTACTCTTATCAAGAATACAGAGAAAAAAAGCATTTTTAATGTAAGTTTGGCATATTTGTCACATGACCTTCAATAAAAATTGCACAGCTCTTCTGAAGGCTTTTAGAAGTACTGTAGTAAGCCAGTGGTGTTAAATGTTTAAATTCCTGTTTCATTTCCAGTCACATTTATTGGATTGGATAACTTAATTATTTATGTGGGGCCTTCATGAAGTTAATATCTTAAACACACTTTAGCAAGTTGCTTGCTTCAAAGAATCCTACTATCCTAATATGTTCATATGCATACTTTTTGTGTGTTTTGTACTCGTACACGAGTCAGATTATATTACCACCTCTCTTCCTGAGAGGGAAAAGAATCCTGTTAGGATTCTAACAGTCTCATAACCCTGTTATAGACATGATTCACTTTTAATGATTGTAGCTTTGATCTAGGACTAATTTATGCTTTATATATAGACCCCTCTCTCTGGTTTAATTTTAGCTACAAATGAAAGTATAGAAAAGAAAAAGAAATAGCTTTCTTTATGAGTTCTCTAAGGCTAAAACTGAATACCTACTAATTAGGCAAATGGATATTTATATTTTTCTTTATTAAAAAGAAAAAAATCTGTGCTGTTAATTTTATTTTTTTAACAGAGATACATAATGGGGATTGAACCCAGGACCTTGTGAGTGCTAGTAAGCATGTGCTCTCCCACTGAGCTATATTCCCACCCCCGTAAATCTGTGCTGTTTGGGTTTTGAACTTCTAGCTTCATTGCTTCAAGTTGAAAGTGCATACTTATTGTTTGCCTAAAAGTTTTTAATGGCTAAAAATGGTACATAATGCTCTTTAAAAGTCCCCTCTCTAGAACATTTAGAGAATGAGTTGTTCTGTTCAACTGAGATTTTCCGTGATAGACAAAGGCAGCTCTTAAGCACATTTTTTTAACTATTTTGATTAGAAAGATTTTCAAATATTACATGTCTTTTTATCCCCCTTGGACAGCATATATTAAACATAACAATCTTTTTGCAAGATGATCTTAAACTATAATTGTGAACAATTCCTAAACTGCTGTAAAACAGCAGTGTCATCCTCAGATGTGGCAAACTGCCTTTTCCCAAGTGTTCCTTTGTATCTTAGGTCCATCTTTTCTAGCTTACAGTTTTTGACTCTTCTTTTAGGATCTTTTTTGCTGTCAGTATACCTGCCTCTGCTGTCATATTAGCTTGTAAAACAGATAACCAAACTTATTCTTCTTTTGTAATCATAACAAGAGGAAACAGAGTTTATCGTAGAAGATTTTCAAGGCATACTCCTCAGAGTAAAATAAATTGTCACTCATATTTGACTGTGGAGTCTTTTTGTTTGATGCCTAGTTCTTGCCTAAATTCTGGGTAGGAGAGAGGAGCCAAGTACTTTTGTATTTGGAAATGAAAGAGATTGCTCTACTAAGCTTGTGCTGAAAGAACACTTCCCTTACCATTCTCCCCTTTTATCCATGTAAAAATTGATTGACTTGTTCTCTCAGTCTGAGAACCTCTGAGCATTGAGAGTGGTTGCTGTTGTTCTTGTCTCTTAATCTATAGAACTGAAATGTAGCCATCAAAGACCCATTTATGACCTTCATTATAAAATATCAACTATTTTTAGATGCCACAGTGGAGCTATCCCTGGACAGCACACAGAATAATCAGAAGAGAGTGCCCACCAAAACGCTCATTTCTCTTCCTCCTCAGGAAGCCACAAATTCTTCTAAGCCCCAGCCAAGCTATGAGGAGGTGAGAATCTGTGCTATTGGTCTTGTTTCTTCTGGATGTTTAGGACTGTGCTTCCTGAAGTTCACTTGAATTTCAACCTTGAGAAAATACTTATGACTCTTGAAGAAGACGTTTTTGGTTAATGAACAGCCAGAATCCAATAAAGAACAGTTTCCTAGGTGGAGTATCTATTACCCAGAGGTTAGCACAGAGGCTTTCAACGTCACTAATGATACTTAGTGTCTGACGCTCCCATATTCAAGAGTATAGTCTCTCCTTAGCCTGACAGAGGCAAGTCTTCCAAAACCTAGTCATTATTTATTATGATCATAGTAAGGTTTTAAGAGAATAGAAGTAACAAAGTCCTTTGAGCAGGCTCCAACTTGAAATTGTGGAAGTTGCTTCATTGGGGCTATTGGAAATGGACAGAGCTGAACACTTATGTGTAGAAGGAAAAATCTTGATGTTATTATATTGGTATAATGTTAATACAGGGTAAAATTAATAGCCTTTTTGGGGGGTATCAACTCATGACTTATCTTCTCTTCAAAAGTTAGAGGAAGAAGAACAGGAAGACCAGTTTGATTTGACAGTCGGTATAACTGATCCTGAGAAGATAGGTGAGTATACTTGGGGCTTGTGATAATTAGGCTGTGGCAAGTTAGCATAGTTAGCTAATTTTTTTTTTTTTGAGAGAGAGAGGAGGTAATTAGTTGTACGTATGTATGTACATATTTATTTATTTAATGGAAGTACTGGGGATTGAACCCAGGACCTTGTGCATGCCAGGCATGTGCTCTACCTTCCCCACCACGCTTAGTTAATTTCTAAATGATTACCTTCGAGCTGAGCTAGCTACTTCATCACTGTCTTCCCTGTGAAACTCTTGCCCCTTGCAATGGTTGCAAGGCCAGAAACAGCAGTTATCAGTACTTACTTTGGCTTTCCTGGCTTTAGGAAGAAAAATCAGAAAATCAAATACTGTTAGTATCCCTTTTTAAAAACCCAAACATTGCCTTTTCCCACAGAGTTGTTGAGGCCGTTTTATCCCCTTCTGAGATCATAAATTCCATTTAAGCACCCTGAAAATACATGTTCTAAAATTTGGGAAAACTGGATTTATTTTTCACTCAAGAAGTTTGGATTTCTTGTTACATATCATTTATCATGTACCCTTGATACTCAGTATAATAATCTAATAAAGTGGGGAAGTCTACACCTCTCTTTCATTATTAAAGATTAAAGGACCCGAGTTGAATTTTGGTCAAATTGAAATTAGATTTTCAAAAAGCACAATACTTAACTTTGGCCAGAACATGGGTTTTCAGGACAACCTTCCTGTGACCCAAGCTTGTGAGATTTTAGTGAGTGGAGAGCAACAGGCCTGGACTTCCCTTTCCAGGTGTAGTCCCTGGCAGAAGAGGCTGCACAAAGCTTTTTCCTCCTATTAAATAGAGGTAACGTTTGTGTGGTTAAGAGGGAAAATGTGATTTCCACCCCTTTGTCTATTCTAAACTAGGAACAGGAATTTACAAAATCTAATTAGACTTTATGCCAAAATGGTTTGTCTTTTAACTATTGAGTTTTGCCCGGTTGTGCACTGGGTGAGATGTCTATGAGCATCTTTATACAGCTCCGTCATCCAACAGATTGAGAACTAGTAAATGAAATGTCACTTCCCTGTCAGGTCACACTGTACAGTCCTTGGTAGAGCCTGGATCAGAACTTCGGATTACATGTTTAGGATTCTCTCTTGCTTCTCTAATATGTATGAATATTCTGTAAGCACATTAATTTTAGGCTAGTTATTAGCTGTTTTAAATCCTTGGTAGAATAAAATAAATTAAAAGTAAATAATGCTAATTGTTTTAACATTTGAAAGTCATGATGTTTGTACCAGGAGTGTGTTAGTTTCCTAGGACTTCTGTAACAAGGTACCACAAACAAGGTGGCTTAAAACAACAGACATTTATTCTCTCAGAGTTCTGGAGACCAGAAGTCTGAAATCATGGTGTTGACAAGACCATGCTCCCGCTGAAGGCACTAGGGTAGGACTGGTTCATGCCTCTCCTCAAGTTTCTGGAGCCTCAGGCATCCTGCAGCTTATAGTTGTATCACTCCAGTCTCCGCCTCCATTGCCACATGGCATTTCCCCTGGTGTTTTCACATCATCTTGCCTTTATATAAGTCTGTCTGTCTCTGTGTCCAAAGTTCCCTTTTTTAAGTGGACACTAGTCATATTGAATTACTTTCATCATTTTCACTTGATTATTTCTATAGAAGACCTTGATTTCAAGTAAAGTCACATTCTGAGGTACCAGTGGTTAGGACTTTCAACATACCTTTTTTAGGGGAACAGAGTTCAACCCATAATGGTAATTTAAATATCCCATGGATCAGATTTATTTAAACAGAAATCCCTTTTGGTGTTAAACCTTCATCCCCCTTGCACCATAGTCTGTATTCCTACTCATGTTGATGCCAAGAAAACAGCTACTGAAAGCATTTGTATATTCAAGGCCTGACCTTTATGACAGCAACTTCTGTTTGTGTGGGCTGTTTATTCAACATGTGCTTCTCATTCCCACACACATCCAGATAAGTTGGAATCCTGCTTCTACCAGATACTACTTTTTAGAGCCTTGGCAATTTGCATGTGTCATTTTCAACTTTCTGAAATTAACGTATATTTAAAACTGCTGCATTTCTAGCCCATTGGCTTATCTTATGAACTCTGGACATGCAGGTATGTCTCTTTTCTCACATACTGCCTCAATAAAAGCAGCTGATAAGCAGATAAAGTGTCTGAAGAGCCTGCTTTACTACTATGTCTTACTTATGTTTGCACTTAGTCTTCCCTTAATTGCAGGCACTAAATTATGGGATTGGTGTTTTGGACATTTGACCACAACTATCCAACTGTGAATGAAACTTCAAATACTTTTTCTATAAAATAAATTTAGATTTTTTTTCCTTTTTATCAGTGGTAAGCATCCCTAGTAGTATTAGGTAGTGAAGGTAGTCTGAGTCGTTTAGAAGAGAACTGACGGTGGTAATCAATAGAAAGGTATTTCTGAAGCTCCACGTGTGACTCCTGTTTTATACAGTGCTCTCTTGGTAGGGCTTGGAGAAGTATAGAGAGCAGGCCCTCTCTTCCTGTATGGTCTCCAGCTTCTCTGTGTTCTTCATAACAGCAGTTATTCCCAGCCATCTCAGTGAGACCAGGTTGTAGGATGTGACCCTGCGGATCTGGAACTGTACCTTCTTCCCCTGGGCCTTCACCCCAGGACCATTAGGGACGCAGGCACCTAGTAACTGTTGACCTAGGTTTTCCTGTTTGGTGTGGGGAAGAATTGGGGTGAGGAGGAGGGAAACGGAACCAGCCCAAAGCACCAGAGCCCAGCACTGGAGCAATGTCTATCTCAAGTCCAATGTGTGTCTTTTCACTGCTTAGGGAGTCAGTGGTGCCTTTATGTCCCTAAGTGGTCGAGGTCAGGACACTACCACAGGGAAGAACAATTGCCTGAATCCCAAATTATTTAGCAGTCAAAGGCTTTTTCAGAAAAATAATTCCTCCAGGAAAGAGAGATTTGTGTGACATCAGGCAGCCAAAGTGTCTTCCTGCCAGGCCCTTTGCTCGGGGTGAACATGCTAGCTGATAGGGGTCAGTGTCCCCTGGCACCAATTGGGGGTGGGGTGGGGCTGGGACAGTATTTCTAAAAGAGCAAACCAAGCCCAGAGCTAGCTTAGGGTAGAACTACTTGTTTCCTTTTACATCATTTGCTTCCTTCTCCACCTCCTGCTTTATATAGCAAGCGAATTGTTTGGATTTTGACAGATGTGTGTAACCAGCCCAAATATTGGCATGTTAACAACTGATGGATTGTCAGTATCCAGTGCTGCTTTGTGGAGGGTATGAAAGGAGCCTGGCTTTGGAACAGGGGCTGATCTCTCATCTAACTCAAACTGGGGCCCAGCCAGCATCCTCAGGGGCATGATATGTGCCACAGAGGCCCTGAGGCAAAGTAGGAACTGGATTACAGGATAAAATAAAAAGCTTGGAGATGAAACAAGTATCCCTTCTTATACAGGGCTCCTGTGGCTGGCTTATGATTCCTGGTTAAATATTAGCAAGATTAGTCCTGCTTTGGTTTACACAATAATCCTCTCCTGCTTTCTTGTTCTCCCGCAGGGGATGGCATGAATGCCTATGTGGCCTACAAGGTTACAACACAGGTGAGTCCAGGTGACCCTGCTGATGACCACCTTCATAGACTGGGGTGCTCATACCAGGAAGGTCATCATTCAGATCATTTCTGGGTATTTCTTTAGTTTCTTTGCCAACATCTTCCTTCAAGTTTACTCAAGATGGAACAAGTCTGCATCCCTCTGGTAATCTCATCTGAGCCTTTCCACTTTTCTTCCAGAGAGCTAACACTTCAGTGTGAAACTCTGTAAGTTTTATTAAGACATGTGGTGTATCTGATATAATCCCATCCCTCTTAGGAGCTGTGTGGCTTACAGCTGGTTTGGTGGATTGCCCCAAACTGTACCACCTGTTTAAAAATCATCAGATCTCCTGAGGTTTCCTGTGTGGAGCTTCTTTTAATGCTTTCTCCTAACCTTTTGCTCCTCAGGTCTGGTCTTCCTTTTTTATATAGTATTAGTGCATGCAAAACTTACGCAATGTTGTATGCAGGTTATGAAGCATAAAAAATGAAGCCCTGAACCTACCACCAGTCTTAAGATGAGTACCATTGAATCCACCTGCGTGTCTCTCCCTGTCCTGTCCCCTACCTTATGCCTTAGAGGCAGCCACTTTTCTGAGTTGTCTCTCATTTCCTTTATAAAAAGCCTTCACAAAAGTATCTCTCAACAATATATTGTTTGGCTTTTTCTTTAGTTTCATAAAGATGGTATCATGCTGAAAATTGCTTTCTTTACTAGCATTGTTCCTCAGACCCATCCATGTCGTGTGTAGCTGTAGCTAGTCCATTGTGTGATTATGGCATAATTATCTATTTTCCTGTTGTGACTGTTTGGCGTGTTTCCAGTTTTTGTAGTTAAGCGCTATGAACAATCTTGTACATGTGTCTTGATGTACACATAGAATCTAGGGCTTCTCTTGGGTGTGTAACCAGGAGTAGTTCCCCTGGGTCATAGGTAGTGCAGATGTTGAAGAAAATGAATACAAACTGTTTTTTAAAGTCTTTGCACCAATATATACTTCCACTGGCAGTATGTAAAAGTTCCCGTTGATATACTTCCTTGCCAGCAATTGGCAAGGCCAACCTCATTAAATTTTGTCTGTTGATTATTAAATGATCTCTCAATATGATGTAGGCTTAGTCTTTTTTTTGCTAGAAGTTTCCTTTATATTATCTCTCTCACTACTTGTTGGCCTGCCTTCTGTCTTCTAGGTGGCGTGACATGTTGAAGTGTCTGCAGTGTAGACATTTCATCTGATTGATCCTCTCCCTTAGGAGCACTGTTTACTCTTTAATTCCAGCAGCTAATACCCTTAAAAGTCAGTGCAGAGGTGAATGGGTTATAGATGACCATAGAATTCTAGTTTTAAACTAGACTTCAACATCTCTTTCCTTGGAGCAAGGGTTCTTAACCTGCAAATGAAACCAAATTTGAATTTAATTAGCTGCATTTGTAACCCTACAGTTGTTATTTTATGCATTTAAAATCATTGCTCTGATAAGGGCTCCACAGACTCCCAGAGACCCAGAGGGGGAGTATAGCTCAAAAAAAAAGTTTAAGAATCTCAGTCTTGGAGAAAGGTAATTACCAGGTGGCTAAAGGACAGAGATCTGGGCAAAAGATTCCCCTGATGTCAGCTGGATGACTTTCAAGATACTCATTCATCCCCTGTTTGAAATGAAATCACCTTGTGTTTTTTCTTTCCCCAAGACGAGCTTACCCATGTTCAGAAGTAAACAGTTTGCAGTAAAAAGAAGATTTAGTGACTTTCTGGGTCTTTATGAGAAGCTTTCAGAGAAACACTCTCAGAATGGCTTTATTGTCCCTCCTCCACCTGAGAAGAGCCTAATAGGTAAGCCTGTGGTCTTTAATGCTGCTTGGATTTTTTTCTTTGCAGTCTTTCTGCAGTTTGCTTTCTACTTAGTATATGGGACTACCCCTAATAACAGTATAGAATCCTGCGGTTAGAGAAGTATTTCCAGCATTTTCCAATAAATCACATGAGATCTAGAGAAATAGCATGTTTTGACAGTGTGTGTGTGTGTGTCCAGGATTCTTAAATGGTTACTGTTGTCTCCTTGAAATGCATTGAATGAGGGAAAGAGGGTGGGGCAAGGAAGCTTCCCATTACCATCAGCTCACGTCTGTTAATCTATACTCAGAGTCCCGTGGCCTCCTTTTAGAAAACATATGCTTTGGAAGTCCCAGAATTTAGAGCCTTCAGCACTTTGAGACTAGTTTTTAAAAATGGCTCTCTGTAAAGAACCTTTTGTTCCTGCCTGCTCATGACATAGGAGTGCCCTCTGGTTGTGTCTTGTAGTGCTGTCCTTACTGCCTTTGCTCCTGTGGGCTTTTATACAGGTTTATCCTTTTGCTGATGATTTATGGGGGGGGGGTGTTTGTTTGTTTGTTTGTTTGTTGCTTTTTAAATTCCATTCCAGGAATGACAAAAGTTAAAGTTGGGAAGGAAGATTCTTCTTCTGCAGAATTTCTTGAAAAACGGAGGGCTGCTCTAGAAAGGTAAGTACCAGACAGCTGTTCTCTTGAATGCCACAGGAACAAGTGAGAAGCTGAAACTAAGACTTAGTTATCATGAGACTTTAGCTGGAGTTAGTAGTGGGGAAACTTGAGTGAATTACAGATTCCCACCTCCGTGTTGTGTCTAACCTTTCCTAAGTCTCTTACCTTCCCACTTTAGGAATAGAACGTCTGCTTTTTTTTCCCGTCCTGAGTGGGCACACAGTCGTACTCTCCTTCGTCGACAATCAAATGTCGACAATCAAATGTCTGAGGTCTCTTTCTGAGCACTTTTTCTTCTTCCCTTTTTGGAAATGTGAAGAACATGAACTTGAATGTGCTTACAGTCATACTTGAGTACCTTATCTGAGGACATTTTAAAGCAATGAAAGACATTGTAACCCTGCCAGCACTGCATGATGCTTGAAACCTTGTGAGGCCAGGTCCACTAACCAGTTACCTGCTTACCCTGTAGGTACCTTCAGAGGATTGTGAATCATCCTACCATGTTACAGGACCCTGATGTCAGGGAGTTCTTAGAAAAAGAAGAGGTTAGTATTGTACAGACTGAATTTCATAATTCTTGTCTGCCCCTGTGAAGTGAAATTAGTTCATTCAACACGTATTTGAGCACCCACATACAGGCTAATCTGAAACTGTATCCTGGCTTGTAAGCCGTCAAATGTGACAAGTACTTTTCAGCCTTTGAACTAAAAGAAGCTCTACCTGCAGTCAGAAGTACCTGGTTGTAGAGGTCAAACTGCAGCCTAGTTTTGTCTTACTGAGTCAATGCAGTGACCTGTTTGGCAAGTCCTTGGCATTGTCTTTCATAGGTTACTGCTTGGCTCAGATTAAGTGCTTATTTTGTGCCAGGAGCTGGGAGGTGTTAGTTCATAACCAGTTACCACAGACCACAGAACTGCCATGTAGCAAAGGGGTTGATTCAAGCAGACAGTCTTTTTAGGCAATGGTAGTCAATAAAACTGGAGATGGCCCAGTTGCTAACAATTGAAGAATTAAGTAAAATATATCAATACAACAAATGCTTAATTCTCATCATAAACAGAAAGTATACAGAAATTCACTGGAAGCATATATTAAAAGAATTCTTAAAAGTAAAACGTGCAATAGCATATAAATACAGCTGTAGAAACACGTTAATTGTTAAGGGTCAGAAGAAATTAACGCTGGAATAAAATGTTGTAGGAAAGGAAACTAGAAGGAAATGAGTGACAGGGTAGGGCTGTTGTTTGGTATTTATTTTTTCATTTTGTTTTTATTTTTAAATTTTTCTTTACGTTGCATATCATATGTATTACTCTAATGAGGAAAATGGTGCTGAGTATATGCGGTTCCCCCCCCAATGAAATTTTTTAATTAAAAATTCTCTAATGCTCTAAATCTTTTCATTTGTTCTCTGGGATCCCTAAATCCATTCTTCCTTTTCATGTCCTCGTCCTCACTTGGTACCCCAGAACAGGGTGTGCTGACAGTGGCACTGTTGACACTTTGGGCTGGATCATTCTTTGTTGTAGGAGCTGTCCTGTGCATTGTAGGTTTAGCAGCATCCCTGACCTCTGTCCAGAAACCCCCGTCCATTTTAATAACCAGAATTATCTCCAGACATGGCCAGAGGGGACAGAATGGCCCTGAGTTGCAAACCACTGCCCCAAGAGTCCTGGGCACTAAACTCTTTAACCGTTCAGTGTGGTATACTGTATACGCTATGGATTCGTCAGCATCCCTTTTGGGCCTTAGGAAAAGAATGGCAAGACCGAACCAGTCAAATTTTTCCAAGTATTTCGCATGCTTGGCTTAACTAGTAGCTAGAAAAGTAGCCTCAGTCTGAATAAATTGTGCTCCTGTCCTTGGACCTTTGTTCACTGAGGAAAGTCAGAATGGAATCACAGCATAACTTCAGAGTGTCTCAAGATTTTAAGTCCAGCTGTGTGCAGAGTATGCTAATCCAAAAGAACTTTTGACTTTTAACAGAAGCATGCTTGGTATTTAAGTGGTTCATGCCTGGGTGGGCAGGTGGTTTCAACGTGAGGTCACTTGGCCACATAACACTCACACTCCGCTCCCTTTCTGCACACAGTATCAAAAGCTGAAAATTTTTGCTGATTCTATTTAATGTGGTCCTTTGATTTTTTTTTTCCCCTCAGTACATGCTAGTTAGGGATTTGTCTAACTGCCTTTGAAAATAACAAACTACAGTTCAAATAATTTGTTTGGCAAGTTTTGGGCATGCTGTCTGATGGATACTAATTCTTCTGAACCTAAAATAGGGGCAGCAGATAACTTGCCACCCCCGCCTTCTTGGTCTTGTAGCTGCCACGCGCTGTGGGTACCCAGGCTTTGAGTGGCGCTGGTCTCCTCAAGATGTTCAACAAAGCCACAGATGCCGTCAGCAAAATGACCATCAAGATGAATGAATCCGACATTGTGAGTAGCCCTGTGCCTCTCCAGCTTCCCGTACCCCGTCTTAGGGGGCAGAAGCCTCGGGGAGTCCTGAAATTTGAGACTTTCTTTTTAAGATAATTCAGTCCCTTTAAAAAAAGATAAAATAACAAACTGCTAAGGAAGGACTGTGCTCCACTCCTGCATGAGTAGCCTCCATTAAGCTCTGGGCCTGTGTGTTTCAGTGGTTTGAGGAGAAGCTCCAGGAGGTAGAGTGTGAGGAGCAGCGCTTACGGAAACTGCATGCCGTTGTAGAAACGCTAGTCAACCACAGGAAAGGTAATGCACTTGGAGCTGGGGAAAATTGTTGTCTCCAGTGAGCTGGAGATGGGAGGGCATGCTGTTCCCAGCCTCTCAGCCATTCAAGTTGAAATTCTCAGCCCCCCTGCTCCCTGAGGTTCCGATCAGAAAGATACGCCCTGTGTCTCCTGACAGGAAACACGACCCCGCCACTGAGGGCGTTGCACTCTTTACCTGGGAGGGGTGCGGGGAAGGTGCCCCAGTTACAGCTTGACCTGGGACGTGGGCTTCTGTTGCAGTGATTTGAGTTGGTGGCTTCTATCCAAAATGATGTCACAGGCTTTAGCTACGTGGTCCAACAAGCAATGTGTAAATACTGGAAAACCTTATGTGTCTCCTAACCCTTCTTCACCTTTCTCTGCTGAGATTCACTTAAGAGCTAGTGAAATTGCCCGGATTTGAATGCTTTCCTTCTCTGCCTTAAGCTTGCTGATAATCAGAAATCTGCACAAACAGAAAACCATTAGAATGAGGTCAGTGTAAGGGTTGGCAAAATATGACCCCGCCCATGGGCCAGATCTGGCCCTGGGCCTTATTGCTGTGAGCTGGGAATGGTTTTTACATTTTTAAAGAGATGAGTTGGGGGTGGGTGGGGAGAGGAGAGAGAGACTGTGAGACCACGTGTGGCCTGCAAAGCTTAAATACCTGGCTTTTCCCAGAGAAAGCTGTCCTGCTCTAGAGCTTGCCAGACTGCGCAGCATGCACACTCACTCTCTCGTGCAGACGGGCCTCTTAACATGGGCTCTAATGTGAAAATCAGTCGTTCCTTTGGCCTGTTCATTTTAACTGGCCCCTGGTTCTCCAGGAATGTCAGAGCTGCTGCTTCCAAGTAGGTTTAACCTAGAGGAACCTAGGACCACAGCAACCTGTGCCTGCTCATGTGACCAGCTGCATTCCTCTCACTTTCTGAATGCAGTTGGCTGTGGTGTAAGTGACTAAGTTGCAGAGCCCACAGTTGCCAGGCATGGAGGGGCCAGCATTGCTAAGACATGCCACACAGTGTCAGCTGACTTGTCCCTTTTCCTTGGGGGATCAGAGGCCTCTGCTGTCTTCCTCCTTCCAGAGCTAGCGCTGAACACAGCCCAGTTTGCAAAGAGTCTCGCCATGCTTGGGAGCTCTGAGGACAACACGGCATTGTCACGGGCACTCTCCCAGCTGGCTGAGGTGGAAGAAAAAATCGAGCAGCTCCACCAGGAACAGGCCAACAATGACTTCTTCCTCCTTGCCGAACTCCTGAGTGACTACATTCGTCTCCTGGCCATAGTCCGCGTAAGCTTCTCTTTCCTTTCTTCTTTCTCCTCCCCTTGATTTAATTTGTCTTTCCTTTGCTCTTTGCCTTCCCAAGACAGTTTCATCCATTACAGCTCAAAATAGGTGTAATTTTTTCTGCTCTCAAAAGAGAAGGTATCCCATGAATCAAAAAAGTCCATTAAACTCTTAGTTATCACTGAGTCATTTTGAGGCCCCAGTTTTTAAAATGAGTTTGGAGAAAAAGACCGGTGTTGAGTTTCCAAGTAGGCCCCTCCTTATTGTTGAAGCTTGACAGCTCTGTGCTCCTTTCGTCAACAAGGCTTATTACAGACCTGCTGTCTTGGCCCCCTGGAGCAGTGACTTCCTCAGTCCTTTGGTCTTTGCCTCCTTAACAGTAAGCGGCGGCTTTGCCTTGGTAAGAGCTCTTGCTGGCTTCCACTTGTCCCTCCAATGTGTGCAGTCAGGTAACTACACGGAACCGGCTTGGCATTGCATGGAGGAGTGTGGCCAGGGGGCTGAGAGAGCTTGTCACCGGGGTCCTCTTTGTGCTGTGCTGGCCACGCTGGTAACTATACCACAGCCTGTCCCTCAGGTCAAGCACCTTACCTTCTCGCTTGGTGACCGGGGCACTCTAGTTTCCCATGACCTTTCAGCGTGGCCAAGGAAGCACCACTGGGCAGTGGTATTAGCTCTCGCATGGCCTCCCTGAGACAGGAAAGAGCCGAGAGCGAGCCTGGCGCCTGCCCTAAAAGGGCCTGAGTCTGCCCGATCCAGTCTGGGGCCACAATGTATGATCCTCTGAGTTGGAACAGAGTCACCCTGCTCCCTATCCCCAACCTCTGTCCTGCCAGAGAGCCCCTGTATTGTCAAGAGCGAGCTGCTCCCAGGGCTCCCATTTCCTCTGTGGTAGAGTTGCTTATTATAGCCTGTGAGATTGCTCATTGTCCTCTCCCTTTGCTATTTGGTTGGCTGCTAACTCCAGAGTGATAAGAGGCTGGAAGAATAACCTGCTTTGGAATTCTTAGAACTGGTCAGGCTACTTTGGCTGGAGAGCCCTCCTGGGGAGGGGTTCTCTGGGGAAGCTTTCAGAGAAGAGCATTGTTTGGGGTCTCTGGAGAGCTCAGCTCTTGGATATGACCCCCAGACTGGGTGAGCCGGTACAGACAGGGGTGAGGGAGGCCGAGCTAGGGCAGCAGGTGTTAAGAGTGCAGAACTGCAGGCTGGTCTGGTCTCAGAGACCCCTCACCTACCCTCCTCGTGGTCATGAACTGGCGATGGGATCGGAGAGATGAGCAGATGTTTCTTTTCTGCTGTTCCCTGAACCTGCAGCTGGGCCACAGTTAGCCCAGGGGCTTAGGCTTGAGTCTTAACTTGGAATACGAGGTCACCCTTTACCTAATCCTTTGATGTTGGGCTATTAAGAAATTGCAGGCGAGCAGCAGTGACAATTCAGAGGAAGGTAAATTTGGTGTCATTTTACCCACTACGGTTCAAGTGTTGGCAAAGGCCTGCACTAAGGTGGCCTAGGAGACGTCCGGGGAACTTTTGTAGGGAAGAGGAGCAAAAGGAACAGGGCTGGGAGACTGCCTCAGGCCAGGTCTGTCATCCAGGCCACCTCTGGAATCCTGCAAAGCTCGTGGGTGGCAGGGGAGATGGTTTGGTTAGGTCAAACAATTATCCTCTGGAAATGACTGTGGTCAAGGGACTGGAAACAGGAAAAACCAGCAAGTGGACTTTAGAGAGCTTCCTGGGGGCTTTGATAGCCTAGAACAGTTGAATGTGGATACGGTGAAAGCCGGGGACACCGTGTGTCCCCATGGTGGCTTTAAGTGTTTATTTAAAGATCTGTTAAGCTAACCCTGTATGTTGTTCAGGCGTCAGTTTAAAGGTTGCTTCCTTAGGTTGGCCTTTTGGCCTGTTGGAGTTTTCCCAGGCTAAGCTAGGTCCCCAGTTTTATTAGAGTACACTGCTTGTTTTCTCTGAACTCTGCATACTTCCAGTCACTTACTGGCAATTATTAATACATTGTCCACTTTTCTATTAGATCATAAGCTCCATGAGAACAGGACCATTTGTTTCACTTCCCACTGTATTCTTAGTTCCGGGCACACGGCAGGCACTCAGGGAAGTGTGGATGGAGACTCCTGGGCTGACTGACCTGAGGGAGGCAGTTCAAAAGCTATAGCGCTGGGCACTGGCATCGGGCCGCCGACTGTGCTCCCCGCCATCCGGCCTTGGGGGTAGCATGAAGCAGCATGGCGCTGGCCCGCTGGAGACGTGGAGAGGAGTCTTATCCAGGCTTGTGCTTCTCAGCGTTAAACTTCCAGCTGGGCACTAACACGTGGCTGCAAGGCCCGCCCTCGCTCTGTCCCACCCGGCATAGCTGCAGGCAGAGACCCTGAGGCCGAGGTGGAGCCACCTAAGCTCCTGAAGGGCTTCTCCTGCTCTCCCCCAACCCCCGCCCCCACAGGCCGCCTTCGACCAGCGCATGAAGACCTGGCAGCGCTGGCAGGATGCTCAGGCCACACTGCAGAAGAAGCGGGAGGCTGAGGCTCGGCTTCTGTGGGCCAACAAGCCTGACAAGCTGCAGCAGGCCAAGGACGAGATCGTGGAGGTGAGGCCCCCGAGGCAGCCCAGCAGGGGTGTTGTGCCAGCTCCTACCTGAGCCCAGGTCCCAGCCCCTCCAGATGCTCGGAACCCCACAGCAGGCGAGAGAACTGATTGAGTCTAAAGGACGGTGGCTGCTGGAGAGGCCTCAAGTCCAGGCTTGCCCTGAGACCTGGCCCTTTCCTGTTCCACGCAGATTTGCCAAATCAGAGTCTCTGCAGGAGGGGTCCTGGCTGGGTCTTTGAAAAGCTCCAAGATAATTCAGATATGCCTCCCTGGTGAGAACTAAATTCAGTTCTCTGGGGCTCTCAGCCTTGCTGGCGAACACCTAAACCACAGCCTCTGGGGCACTGGAGCTTTCTTAGGGACCAGGCTTGGCCTGGGGCACGTGGCTTCTCTTTCTCAGCCAGCCCCAGGGGTGGCCTTCTGCTTATGTGGACTCTGGCTTATGTGTGGAGTCTCCATAGCGAATCTCACCCGCAGGGACAGACAGACAGATGACCAATTGAGGTCCCAGATATAGAATTGCTGTTCAAAGGTAAAGACTTAATGGTGATATAATATTAAGTGATCGTTTCTTTCCTCTTTCTTTCCAGTGGGAGTCTCGGGTGACTCAGTATGAAAGGGACTTTGAAAGGATTTCAACTGTGGTACGAAAAGAAGTGATACGGTTTGAGGTGAGATAGAAGATCCTGCTTCTCACCGGTGTGCGGTGCCTGGTTTAGTAGTGTTGTTGGATTTGCCCAAGTGTATTGAGGAGGGAGACAGATGGTGGTGCCAGTGACTTGGAAGTTATCGTGAACCATTGTGGCCTTTGTGTGTGCGTGTGTGTGTGTGTGTGTGTGTTCATGTTCATGTTCATGTTCATCTGTTTGTTCCTGAGGCAAGTGGCTGTCCTACACTTGCAGCTAGACACAAAGCAAAGCTTGCAGCTGTCACAGACCCTCTGGTCCGCTGTCCTTTCTCCTCCCCTTCCCCACTCCCACCCCCCCATCATACAGGAGAGCCTTGAAAGGCCTTGGCAGAGGCTATTTGGCTGGAAATTGTAGCTATTCCAGTCTCTACTTTCTGAGGCTGTGTTCAGCTTTGGTCAGCAAGAAGCATCACCATCCTATCAAGAGGGGAAGGAGCAACTATCTGGATGGTCAGTGGAGAACCCTGTTTTTCTTTAGAAAGAGAAATCCAAGGACTTCAAAAACCACGTGATCAAGTACCTTGAGACACTCCTGTACTCACAGCAGCAGGTATGTAACTTATGCACGGCATTCTGCCTCTCCTGCCTGCTCTGAAGGCCGGCTGCCTACTCGTGGCTTTGGTGACTGGGCAGTCTGGCCCTGCTTCAGAGGGCCTGGCCCCTGCTTAATCGATAATTGAAAGTAGGCCCTGTTGCTCTAACTTGGAGTGTCCATTAGGGTGTTTTGCTAATAAGCAGGACTGCCTTAGTCCTATGATGAGTTCGTTTTTAAGGACAAACGCCAACTCTCCTCTCCCTGTAACCTCATGATACCTCCCAGTCCTCTTGAGGCTGCGGTCTCGGTCAGTGTGTGGGACAGTGGCCCCCGCTGTGAGGGGCTAACTGAGCCGGGCCAAGCTGTGGCCCCTTCTCCGGGGCAGAGCCAGGACTGTCTTCAGAGATTGCCCTTGCACTTGCTGCTTCCTTCAGTCTAGAGAGGTAAGGAATAAAGGCAGTGTGGCCGGCTGGCCAGTCTGTTCCAAGGTCACTCCCAGCCTAGCCACCTCCTCAGCTTGGCCTCAGCTCAGCCCTCCCTTTGGGGAGTGGGGAGTGCCGTGGCACTGCGCTTGCTCCCCTGCCAGGCTCAGGCTCTGCCACTCAATGGGGGCACTTGCTCACTGTCCCCACTTCTTTGCAGCTGGCAAAGTACTGGGAAGCCTTCCTTCCTGAGGCAAAGGCCATCTCCTAATGGACCAAGGACACCAGAGCCCACCTGCCTGACGCTGCCTTTTTATACACTGTCCTCCTCCACCTCTGCTGGATCCCAGTGATGCCTCCTGCCTAGCTTGGACTTCACCCCTTCCTCCCTGCCCCCCAAGACCAAACTGTCCCCAGTCACTCTAACCATTACTTCATTTAGCTTCCATATATATTTTCTTACTGGAGAGAATAGTTTCTTGCTTTAAGCAAAAGACCTATAATAGGTGGTGGAATTATTGGCTAGGGGTGGAGTATTGATATAAATATATAAATACAAATGTATATTTTTCAGGATGTGGTTAGGAACTGGGAATAACGTTTTCTGTTACTCCTGATGGTGCCATGAAAAGATTATGTAATAAAATACTTTAAAATCAGGTCACCTGACTCAGAATGGTGGTGCTTTTTGCTTTAGGCTACGGAGCAGGTGGGAAGCAGGTCTGGAATGCTCCTGACCGAGGAGCCGCCCAGGAATACTAAGTCTCTCTCCACGGGAGTCCACAGGCTTGTGTGCTGCTTCCCTGTCGCGCTGGAGTTTCTTTTTCTCTGTCTACCTCAGCCACCTGTTCTGGGGTCTCAATCTATTTAATCCTTACTCCTGTTTCTTTAGGGAAGGAGTTTTTAAGATGTCTTTTATAATAAGAGGAGCAAAACCACTTCTCCTGCAAAGAAGGCAGACTTTCTCTTTTATTCCTGCCCTGTTTCCCTCAGCTGCCCAGGGCTCTGTGAGTCTTGCCTTCTGATAGCAAAGCCTTGTGTTCTGAACTTCTTTTTGCCACCCATCAAAACGCGTCCTCAGTAGACTGGTTCGCGTTAAAAAATATCAAGGACTGATAAGGATTTAACATTTTATCTCCATAGATGACAGAACCAGGCACTCTGCCTCTAGATAAAGTCATCCAAGGGTCCCTAAACCTTTTCAGTTCCAAGAAGCTTTGCTGTCTGTGCCCAGGAGGGAGCATGCCAGCAAGAGGCCCCAGCCAAGGGCGCTCAAAGGGGTCTCTGTGCCAGCCCGGCCAGGGAGGCCCGATCTCCGATGTGCTGCCACTGGGCTTCCCCTCAGCTGTGTCCACAGCTGCTCCAGCTCACTGGTCAGAGCGGCCTGCGGAGCTCCCCTGTGGGGCAGGGCTGGCAGACTGCCTGCACGGGAACCTCGCCGCTCCCGGCCCCAGCACCCCCAGAGATGCCCCGGCTGCCGGCACTCCACGTCTGCTCTATCAGTTCTCTTTGAGGGGTGCGGGGGCTGGTAAGGTTTGGGTAGGGGCAGCCTGAGGCAAAAGAAGGCAGTAAACAGCGCTGATCTCCAGGGTACCAGCCTGACAGGGGAGTACCTCTGCTGCAAGTATTTTTTTTAAACACGTTGATTTTTTTTTTAAGAAAAAGGCACTCAGTCTCTCCCATATATCCCCTACTATCCTTATTACCACCTTTGATTTTATCCTTCCCGTCTTCTTGTATTTTTGCTTTGCATAGTTGTAATAATATACACATAAAATACTTGTATCCTGCTTTTATCACTCAACACTGTATGTTATAAGCATTTTTTCCTGCTTTGTTATGTATCTTCACAGACTTTATTTGTAAGGCTATGCAATTTTTAGGCTTCCATAGAGTGACTGTACCATAATTCTGACTCATCCCTTGTTGTTGGATTCCTGGTTTGTTTGGTAACTTTTAAAATTTTAGTATGATTTTAAACTTACAGAAAAGTTACAGGAGTATCACAAAGAACTCCCATATATCCTTTTATCCACATTTCCCAGGGGTTTACCTTTTTGCTTAATGATTTATGATTTGCTTTATGTATATTTACGTGTTGTATTTTCCAGGTTATTTGAGAATAGGTTGCAGACATTGTATGTCCCCCTTTACCCCCAAATTTCAGTATGCATTCCCTTAAGAACAAGGACGTTCTGTCATAATTTACAACCGTAAGTATGCTTATCAAAATCAGGAAGCATACCACTGATACGATACTGATAAAGTTTAACCCCTGGTCTCAGTTTAAATTGTGTCGGTCGTCTGAGTCACGTCCTTTATTCCCTTTTTCCTGGTGCAGGATCATGTGCTGCATTTAGTGGTGACACAGGGTTACATGTGTCTCTTTTTAATCTGGAAGAGTTCTCGAGCCTCTCCTTGCCTTTCATTACCTTGGCAGTTTGGGGGAATACAGCCAGGGGTTTTGTAGGATGTTCCTCAGTTTGGTCTCATGGTCCCACACAGTCCCACACGGTTAGATGAGGGTTTTGCGTGCTGGGCAGGAGCATCACAGTAGAGGTGTGTCCTCAGCGCATCTTAAGTGTGATGTGGTGTTGGTTGGTCCCATTAATGCTGACGTTAACTCTGATCTTTTGGTTAAGTTGATGACTGCCAGGTTTCCCCATGTTAAATTTACTCCTTCTCCTTTGTAATTAAGCAGTTTTCTGTGGGAAGATACTTTTATATCAAGTAAATATTTTGTTCTTCATCCAGTGTGATTTTCTAACTCCATGGTTTCTTCTACATTTATTGGTTGGCATTCTTCTTCTCAAGAAAAACATCTTTCCTCCCTATTTATTAATCTGCTTGTTTATCAATATGGACGAATGGATTCCTGTTTTACTCAAAATTGCAAGCCATTGCTTCGATTTGTTTTGATTGTCAGACTGTCCCAGGTATTAACACGCCCCCTTCGTTTTTTCAACACTTTCTTTCTTTCTGGCTAACAAGATGTTCCAGGCTTATCTTGTATCTTCCCTGCACCAGCCCTGGAATCAGACATTTCTCTAAGGAATCTTGATTCCTTTTACTGGAGAATGATATTTAGAAACCAAGGTCTGGGTGCTGATCTTGCTACTGGAGTATCATGACTTCTAGGCTCTTGGCAGACACAACAAGGAAACAGATATATGGACATACCAAAAGCGGTGAAGATAAATGGCATAAATAAATAAAGAATCAGGTACTAAAAATCATGCATTCACACCTCTATTTCCTGTCTAGCTCCATAGAGTTTATTCTCATCTCCTTTTTGCATATTTGTAACTCTCTTCTCCAAAGAAACTTAATTTTTAAAGCTTCCTCCTCACTTTGTTATATTCCATCCAGTGATCATCTTGATAGAAGTCTGTTTTTGTTATTTCCTTGGGATGGACTCTCCTCTGGTTTCAGAACTTCCTCCTCAGCCTCCTGCATCCCGAGGCAGACAGGGCTGGCTGTCCAGGGCCCATGCATTTCTGGGCAGAGCCGGCAGACATGGAAGTTAAGAAGGCCAATAGCAGGGTAAGTGCACTGAGCCAGAGGCCAGTGCAGGGGGCTCCACAAAGGAGTCCTTCTACCTGGGGGCTCAGGAGGAAGAAATTGGAGAAGGGGATGCTTAAACTGTGTCTCAAAGGCAGAGAGGGATTTGTTCCTTCTGCTGGGTCCATTCTGCCTCCCTGTGTCGTGGCAGTGGGAGGTGCGCACAACCAGGGGGATGCAATGGCTCAATGTGGCCAGAGTCTAGTCAGTGGACGGCCCGCAGAAAGCGGTGAGCAGGAGCTGGATCACACAGTGCCTGTGACGTGTGGGGCGCTCCTGAAGGGACTTGAGCAGCGAATAGCTTGGTCACATTTGTGATGTAGACATATCAGGTGTGAGGGTGGAGGCAAGGAGAGCCAGCCAGAGTGCCAAGGAGCAGAGTAGTAATGGGGCTGGAGCTCGGGAAGAGGTACAGGAGGTGGAGAAGAGCCACTGGGGTCTGGTCACTGATTGGATGAGAGGCCTGAGGGAGGGGGCGGTAGTTAACATGACCTGCAAGCTTCTGGCTTGGATTTCGGGGTAGACAGTGCAGCCCGTCATGACGCAGGTAACACAGGAGGCCAGATGGGTTTGGAGCAGGTGGGCAGGGAAGCCGTGGGGACAGCAGGTGCTGACCATGTCATATAAGAGGCTTCTCTGCCTGGGAAGGGAGGACTCTGCTGAGAGGTGGGAGAGATACAGAGTGAAGTCAGGCTTTGTTTTATTGAAAGGTGGATCAGACCTAGCATGTTAATAAACTTAGGAGGAGAGAAAGGGACAAGCCATCAGCCATGTCTGGGAACACAAAGTGCACAGAGCAAGGGGCCTCACAGCTGGGGCTGGGGGCCAGAGAGTGATGGTCTCCGGATTGGTAATTAAAATGTCCTCAGACAGGAATGTCTTGTTCACCTATTTTGAGTTAAGTGGTTTAGAGAAGAGGTGTGGAGATGAGTCTGCATTCCCCTACTTCCCCTGAGGTTATGTCCCGTGTGAATCCCTGGGCTCTGGAATCCTGAAGATGAGGGCTTAGAGCTGGAGGAACCCCAACATTCGGTATGAGTATTCAGTGACAGAATAATGGGAGAAGTAGAAATGACCGGAAGTGTCCACATAGAAATTTGTAACATTGAGCTCTTTCCAGAAGATTTCATTCTGAATGCACCTCTAGCTGAGAACTCTTTAAAAAAATAAAGAAAGAATGCCTGTGCAGCTCAAATTTTAAAAAGGTGAGAAGATAATGGAAATACTAAGCATGGGGCCAGGAACTGGTTGAGGAGGGAACATGGTGATGGAAGCAGTGTCCTTTGCTGAACGTAGGGCCTGTGTGGGATTGAAGACCATGGATTTTGAGGGGCACCAGCCCCTAAGGTGGTGGGATTTTCCCCACCATTCCCGGCAGCCTGGGGGCTGGGGAAGGGGGGTCCCTCCTGGAATAAGGAAGGACATACTTTGCTGCGGTTGGCACGTGCCTGATTCCAACACTGTGTTCAGAGTCACTGGCTAAGATTCTCAGCTCCTCGGTGGGGAAGTGTCAGGACTGAGCTCACAGTTAGAAATGGACTAGAACAACTCATCCCTGTCTCCTGGCCCCAGGGTTGGTGCGACATGATCTGTCCATGTCTTGTGATGCCACTTGAGTGGTTTAATGTCGGCTCTCCCTGCCCACCAGTCAACTCTCCACAGTGGAACGTCTGTATAACCCCGTGGCCCCCTGAAAAGATCTGGGCTTAAAATAGGTGCCAAATAGATAACAGTTGAATGGTCTCCAGTTGCAGGCTCTGCCACCTGGCCTTCACAGCCTTCTGGGAGAGGACCCCAGCTCGCCTTTCCCCATTTATCTCCTAGTGCTTCACAGCAGTGCGCGTGCCTCCTGGAAACTGATTCCACATACTCTCTTTCCTTCCTCACTTCTGTGTGGCCTCAGAAGCCTTTATTAATGGGGGACGTTGTACCTGAAGCACCCTGTCTCAGCCCCCATCCCTCTCTTCTCAGAATTACACCTGCCTGAAACCGTCAGCCTTCACTGTTGCAGATGAGAGTGTAAGTAAACAGAGACGGAGGGCATTGGTGAATGTGTCAGAACACTCACTGGGGATTCCCGTAGACGCTTCTAGAAGCCAAGTCCATGAGGAAGACTGTGCCAAGAGGCCCATCATAGCATTGTTTACAGTTGTACAATTTGAAATCAGTCTTCATGTACAGCAGGAAGGGATTAAATGAATTATGGTACATAATACAATTAGATATTATACAGCCATTGAAGGTGGTATATAGCTCTGTTCACTGACAAGAAAACATATTTTTGAGTGAAAAAAAGTAGGTTATAGAATTACATGTATGATATGGTCTGCATTTATATACAATTATATATATATTGGAAGGATACTGATCGAATTGTTAACTATGGTTGCCTCTAGGGACGGAATTTTGCATTTATTTAAATTTTTATACCATTTTATGTTGCCTGGAATGTCTGTGTATTTTTATAATCATAACCATTAAATAAAGCTATTTTCATTATGGGAAAACAAACCAATGCATTCTTTGAAGCCTACTTTATACGTGCATTCTCTGGGAAGCTTTCTGTGACCCATTCTCCATCCCACTCCCGAACTGGGCTGGGAGCCCCGCCTCCTTTTTAGTTCTTTGCTTGGCACTATCTTTGTTATCCTTTTAAACGTCTGGTCTTTCTCACCCTTGCTTGTAATGTTACGGCGAAGAAGATGATCTCAGTCGCCTCCCTGGCTCTGAACTCAAGATCATGGACTGTGTTGTCCTGCTCATCTCAGTGCCCTCCTCCACTTCCAAAGGCAGCTGAAGGAGGGCAGTGGCTGCCCTTCAGCTCTGGCGATTCTTGCATTACGAGCCTGGCGGCCCACATCTTGGGATTTTTCAAGTGATCCAGAAATCAGGCCTGATTCAGGGTTCAGTAGGCCTTGCTGTGGTTGGCAGGCGCTCAGTGCCCCAGGTGGGACCTGCAGGCTGGGAGGTGATAGCCACCTGCCCCTGAAGGGCCACCTCCCCTTTGCCTTTGTCTGTTGTGGACATGCCCTTCTGGCTCTGATGCCCAGACCTCGGGCAGAAACCCCCTCACTCCCACCAGGGCTGCTCAGAGGAAGCTCAGCCTCCACAGGATGCACTGTGTCTGGGTCCAGAAAAAAACCCAAAGAAAAACCCTGTCCAATCTGAGATAGGACCTTTCCCTGAAGCGATGTGACGATAGTTTCCAAATGACTGCCCCCTCGTAGCTTCAGAGCTCTCAGCTTCCTCTTCCATTATGAGTGACAGCAGTGATGACCACAGGGGCCCCGAAGTCGGCCTCCTCTTGGGAACATCAGCAACCTCACCAGAGAAGACGGTGAGGCACCTGGCCGCCGGGAACACGTGCAGGGCCGGGTCCAGGCTGCCTCCGATAGTGCCTTCCCACCGCGGGGGCCATAACAAGAGCTGCCGTGCGGTAATCACCCACCCACCTACCCTGTGCCAGTGTGCTCAGGGCTTTGAAACTCATCAGCACCCCGGCCTTGCCAGGTGGGCGTCATTATCTACATTAAAAGACAGGCCTCGAGGCCTCAAGCAGCTTGCCCAAGGCCCACCCCGGAGCAAAGAACTGAACCCAGTCTGCTCGACTCAGCCCCCCTGCCTCACCATATCCCACACGACCCAGTCGGGGATGGACAAGAAGGACCTAAACTCTAATCTACTAAGTCGTTTCCTTAAAGACCTGAAAAAACCCACAGAAACCCAAGGAAAAGTTACCTTCCTGACCTCATAGGCATCTGCCGCTCCCACCCTCTGAGGCTCTCTCCACAGACCTGCTCAGTGTGTGGCCCAGTCTGGGAGCAGGAACAGAAGCTGGAAGACAGAGAAGCACTTGGGTGAGTGGCTGGGGACCAGTAAAGGCAGAGACTAGAAACTCTGCTTGCTGGGAAACCCCAGACAGCACCCAGGGCTACAGCGAGAGTAGGGGGCACCTCCATTCTGGACCTTGAGGCCTAGGGCCGGGGTTTCCCCACCCCCCCGCCCCCGCCCGTGGCTTTCCTGTGGTCCTTAGTTCTTGGTCCCACAGCTCTGATCACAATAAACCCCTCTGACCTGAGGGTGCCTGGGCCTGTCTTCGTTCCTTGAACCCCGGTGCTGGCACACCAGCGGGGCGACTGGTTGGCCCACTGACATATCACTCTTAAGGGGTGCTAGGAGTTGGAGCACCAGAAAAACCTCCCTGGGCAGCTGTGCTGGGTGGATGCCGGGTTGCTGGGGTGGCCTCCGCAGCTCCCCCTGCTCCAGCCCTGGGTTCTGTTGTCTGAGGCAGCTGGCCGCCTCCATCTTCTGGGCAAGGAAGGGCCAGGTGGCTCCTAGGAGTGACTCTGCTGGCTGGAGCCTACCTGTCCCCTCAGAAGGAGGGCACCAGCCGAACCTGGTGCCAGACTTAGCTCTCAGGGCTCAGGCAGGACGTGCTTGTCAGTAATGCCTTCCTAACAGCCCTCTCCACGGCCCACTTCTCCTTCCTCACACCTGTTTCCTCATTTATAAAATGATGCGTTTAGCTCAATAATTTAAAATGTTTTAGCAGTAGAACTATTTTTTTAGACATCTACACCAAAATTCAATACTCATAACATAAATTTTTAAATTTTATTACTATATTATTTCAAATGTATAAGATGTAGTTATTAAAAAGGCAGTTAGTAAGGACTCTGAGGCTGCCAGGATGAACAGGATACTTGCTGATTTACACCAACGTCTGCTTCCAATTCATTTTCTTTACCTTTTTTTGGTTGCACAATATTAAGAAAATCAGGAAAAGCCTGATCACAGAGTTAGCAGTTGGGATAATTACTGGCTTTTTGATTTAAATTTTTTTATTTCGTTTATTTTAGTGGGGTTCTGGGGACTGAGTCCAGGACCTCGTGCATGCTAAGCCTGCAGTCTACCACTGAGCTATTACCCGTCCTCCTTTTTGGTTTTTTTAAAAGCTAACCTTGAAACCTCAGGATAATGAAGGAATAGAAGAGTTTGTTTTTGTTGTTTCAAAGATGAATCCTTAACAAACACAGGATGAACCATATGTAATTGTCAATACCCCATGGTTTGGGCCTACCGAAACAGCGAACTCGTGTAATTCAGTCAAATAAGAATAGTTAACATTAATTTACTGCGTGCCAGGCCCGGTGCTAAACGCCTTGGTAGCATGGTGTCATTTAGCCTCTACACAGCTCCCGGTGGTACGGACGAGGACCCTGAGGCTCAGGGCGTTGCCCAAGGTTGCCCAGGTGACCAGAGGCCCCCCCCCCTCAACCTCCAGGAGCCGTCCAGGCCCAGCCTCGCCCCCAGCTGCTGGGGCCCCAGGCCAGGCCACCTCCAGCCGCTGCAGCGGGCAGAAGAATCCCGCCTCTGTGCCCAGCGGAGCCCGCCCGCCCGCGGCGCAGGAGCTGTTCGTTTTCTTAACGGGGTTAACCAAACCTCCCAGCAGCATCGGTGGCCTCCGGAGGCCGGGCCAGTG